ATTTCTTCCACCACAGAGCAGACTGACTAATTTATCTGCTTTGTAGAAAAACCTTTGAAAGCAGCTGCACATGTGTAGAACTTCAGTCATTTGTGAAAAGTTTCCACTCGAACTGTACTTCAGACGTGGTCAGTCTGCTTCTGGAGAGGATTTCTGAAGAGCGTCAATTAATCTCTAATAAGGTGTATTAACATTAATGTCCTATATATGATTTGTGTTCAGGGCATAGAAAGCCGTAATGACAGTATAAAACATATCTTATACCATATGATAACATAGAAAATATTAAACAGTTGGTTATAGTGTGCCAAAACTAACGTTGCGGTAGGCCTTTAATAAAAGAGGGCAAAAAAGAGAATACTATGCAAGATTTATTCTGCCTACAATGACAGTCAAATAGCATATATCACATGTCCATGTTACAAAAAGCTTCACGTATTTCCTGTATTGGATGGGGTATGTATCTGGTATATGCCGATGAATTCCACCGTCCCAATGTCTTGATAATATGTACCGGTATGTTTCTGCTGGGGGCAGTGGTGGCTGCTCCAATGCGGAAGGAGTGTCCGGAGTAGTGGGATGGATTAAGACCTAACCTAGCCAGCAATACTCTAATATAGAGCATGCATTTACTAGTGGAGAGAGCATTTCCATGTAAGGTGAACAAAAGTTGGTTAGGAGAACCTGGAACAGCAGTTAGGAATTTATGAACCATTTGTTGCTGGTAGGGTAATAGGGGATCTTTACCAGTTGATCCCTCTGTGTGGTTTTAGTGTGGTTGAGGGATAGTATATCTTGTATTTTAACAATCTGGGATCTCTTAAAGGACCACTATAGGCACCCAGACCACTTCAGCTTAATGAAGTGGTCTGGGTGCCAGGTCCAGCTAGGTTTAACCCCCTTTTTTTTTTTTTTTTAATAAACATAGCAGTTTCAGAGAAACTGCTATGTTTATATTAGGGTTAATCCAGCCTCTAGTGGCTGTCTCACTGACAGCCACTAGAGGGCTTCCGCGCTTCTCACTGTGATTTTCAGAGGGAGAAGACGCCAGCGTCCATAGGAAAGCATTGAGAATGCTTTCCTATGGACTGGCTGAATGCGCGCGTGGCTCTTGCACATTCAGCCAGTGACGGAAGAAGAGGGAGGAGAGCTCCCTGCCCGGCGCTGGAGAAAGAGGTAAGTTTAACCCCTTCCTCTCCATCCAGCCCGGCGGGAGGAGGACCCTGAGGGTGGGGGCACCCTCAGGGCACTATAGTGCCAAGAAAAAGAGTATGTTTTCCTGGCACTATAGTGGTCCTTTAATGCGGTCTTGGGATGTGATGTTTGTAGTAGTAAACTCTCTGGGTCTGAGGTACCCATAGAAAGCTAAGTAGATACCGGTTTCAAAGACGTGACTGATGTGAGATGGAAAAGTTGACTATGAATCAGTGATCTAGAAGATAGTGGTATGAGTTTTGAATTTTTGATTTGTTAAGAAGATAGAAAAATGTGATTGTTTGGCCAAATGTGGAAAAATTTGGTTGTTTGGCCATCAGATATAATTTGATGGTGTTGTAAGATAATTGTAATTTAAAGTGGCAAAAATAAGTGAAAGCTACAATAGTTTCCATTGAATGTTTATTTACAACATGAAAGTCCAACAAGAATCTGTTACAAATATGAAATGCCCTATGACTTTCTAGAATCTGCCATGTGTTTACAGAGCTCCGAATCCAATGTTATGTCCTGCCATGACTGAGCCGGGAGCTGCCGTTGGTAACGCTTTGTGGAATTCCTGAAATTTAGAGCGAGACAAACTATCAGCTGCTACGTTTGGAATGCCAGGAATATGCACACATACCAGGAAGAAATTATAGTTAGCCGCCAGCCAAGTCAATTTCCTCAGAAGGCTCATGATAATCAGCGATTTAGAACGCCCTTTGTTAATTATATGGCAGGTGGCTAAATTGTCCGAAAAACATCTCACGGCCTCACCTGACCAAGCTGTTCCCCATGCTACTGCAGCAGCTACAATGGGATAGAGCTCGAACAGGGCAGAAGTGGTGGAAAAACCTGGTGCGTTGTACACTTCTTTAGGCCAAACGCCCCAAAGCCAATTATAACAAATTGGGGCCTTTGGACAGTAAGTTCTTACATTCTACAATGCCGAATGCCATGTAAATGATTCCCATATGGAACCCTTCCGTGAATCCCATCACAAAAATCTCCAAGTGGGGTGAGAGATGGTTCTGTAGTAAGTCAGCGAAACAAGTCACATTGAGGCCATGTAAGGTTTGGAAAACAATTAATTTGGACACATCGTCTTGGCATGTGCCCTGAAATAAAGAGAACCAACGTGCAATTTCCGGGATGTGCTAAATCCACAGGAACCTGCATTGAAGTTTTTGCAAATCTGGGATTTACCAAGGAAAACAATATTACTGCCAAGCTTGTCCTTAATCACTCACTCCGGTTTAGCTGAGGAAGTAGGGAAAGGAAAGGCCATAATTGGTAGTATAGTCAGTAGGGCCTAGTGCCTGGTAACATAAAAGGAAACAGTTGGATTATCCGAGCATTGAGGGAAAGGACGTGGATTCTAAAGATATATTCTAAAGCACTAACCGATGTAATATTGTAGGAATCGAAAGAGAGGAGATGATGATATGGCAGAGTGACTTCAATCTGTAATATATATCGCCAATATTAGAACTTAAAGAGAGCATAACTGACTACTAAATGACAAAAATTAACAGAACCCACCTAAAGTGATTTGACAATTAAAACCCTGAATCAACCAGAACCTATGAGACTTGAAAACCTCAGAGGCCCAGCAAATAAGGTTCAAGCCAGACAACCTATAAAATATATATAACGTATCAAATTGTAGAACAAAAATAGCAACAAAATGCTGCTCAATTTAATTTGTTAAACACATTAATTGATCAAAATGCATAATACATGCAGTACTCTCTTATGACCTCTAGGGGTAAGTAGCCTACGCAGCATATACGTGTAATTTATACAAAAGTCCACCTGGACTTTAGGAATTCCTATTATTATAATAGGGCATTCGGCTGTAATGATACGAACAGAGAGGAGCAAAGAGCCGCATAACAACCGAACGCTCCAGTACAACGAAAAACTATAACATACATGTTCGTGAGAATCATAAGTATTGTTCGTGCGAACTAACTAACTGCCGAACAGGTGAGCGCAACCCCACGAAAGCCAAAGTGTACGAACCGACAAGCACTAACATAGTGGAAAACTACCAAACGTTCGTATGGAAGTTAACGAAAGACTATACGAATGCATACGAAACAGAGGTAAGTATGAGAGAGAGAGTTGGTCCGTGATGACGCGGTGCGCCTGCGACAGGTTCGCGAAGGTCAACCAACTCACTGTTACTGCAGCTTTGGGGAGGCAAGTGGAAGCGACCAGAGGAGAGGGGAAAGGTCCCGGAGGTCTTGGATAGCTGAATTCGAACCAGACACTCAAAGAGCAGTCTGATATTCTAATTCCAAACCATTACTTAATAGTAGCATAAGAGTAACGAATCTAGCTTGTAATGTGGAAGTTGTGAATTTAGTCCCTGAATGGGATTTCTTTTCCTGATCTTTCATGCAAATTTCTAACTACTTTTTTCACAAGTATTTTGTAATTATTGTAAATAAAACTGTAATTTCACTTCAATTCCATGGGGTGAACACACTAGAGAGAATAGGTTTACCTATGCTGTAGTCAACGGAAAATAATTTACTCACTGCATGTGACATCTTAAACAACTTTTGTTTTTGTCTGATTTAACAAAAAAAAAAAAGAAAAAGTATTTTATGCCCATACAAGAAATTGAAGTCTATCTGCTGGGATGAAAAACAAGACACTTGATCACTAGGCTATAAGGGAACTAATGCAGTTATAAAGCTCAGCTCCAATATCAGCACTGTGTATCTGTTCAAAATGATTTCCAGTTAATAGCATCGTGTCTCTGCTGGAAGTATGTCCCCAAATACCACCACTGTTTGTGTCTGCTGACAGTGCCCCTCACCCACAATACCAGCTCTATGTGTCTCTTGAAGTATGCTGCCATATTATCCCAGTATTCCATGTACAATTCATACCATTATTGTTCTGTCCTTTTTTTAAACTATTTTAACTATTGCCATGGAAAAATACATATTTTTGCATAATTTTATTAGAACAAGAATAATGTAACTCATTAGACTAGGCAATTTCCAGCATACTAAGTGATAATTTGTAACATGTTTTAACCCTTTCAGCTTCACAGATGTGCAACACAGTGCTTTGCAATGTGCTGGTCATATATCTGGCACTCAGAGGATTAACCAAAGTATTTTTTTTTTTTCCCCTGACAGTCATTTTGACATTTCTGAGGAGTGCAACAAAATCAGTTTGTGGGGTTTCCAGAGAGACGTTTCCATGAATGCTGAATGGCGACCCACCATAATAAACTTTCGCAGCAGGGGCATAACCACGCAGGGCTCCAGTGCAAGAATCAGTGAAGGTGCCCCCCTCGCCATGTGTGGTGGCTTTGCCGAGGGTGACTGTGATTGGGTTGGCAAAGTGTGATTGACGGGAGGCTGACCATGATTGCGTGTTGGAGTGTGACTGTTTATTATTAAATTCCCCTACTGCTTACCTTAAAGAAACATTACAGGGGTCAGGAACACAATCATGTATTCTGACTCTATAGTGTTAAAACCACCCTTATCCCCCTTAAAAAGGGTCTGCCAACATTGGCCATGCACTGGATCCTCCTCCTTGCTGACATCAAAATGTAGGATTTCAACCAATGCAATGCTTTCCCATTGGCCTGGCCAATCAGCACCTCCTCATAGAGATGCATTTATTCAATGCATCTCTATGAGGAAAGTTCAGCATTTCCATGCAGTGCAGCACTGCCCCAGGAAGCACCTCCAGTGGCCCATCCCTATGGGGCAATGTAAACACTGCCTTTTTTCTGAAAAGGCAGTATTTACATGAAAATGCATGCAGAGACTGTCTATACTCACCAGAACAACTACATTAATCTGTAGTTGTTCTTGTGACAATGGTGCCCCTTTAATGCGAGTCGGGGAGTTTAATCCCTGGGGTCAAGTGGATGCTGGTAGATATCCATGGTGGTCTAGTGGAGCAGAGTGTGGTCTGCTCTGTGTCCATGGGGTACACAGTACATACTCCTTTTGGTCGGCACTCATTCAGTGAGTTAGAACGTTACCATGGCAATTTGGTAGAGCTCTAAATCATTAAATAAGCACTTTGACTTGTAAGTAATGCTTACCAACCATACCATCACAAACTTTAAAAAAGTTATTTAATATTTTGATAATATATTAAATAATTTTGAAAGGGGGAAGGCCAAAACAGCCTGGGCCTCCCCTGTTAACATGAAGCTACATGGGCAAGGTGCCACAGCGACCCTGGTAGTTCCACCACTGTTCCATAGTCACCGCTGATATTTAGTTCATTTAGGAGCTGGTGTAACTTACCACCTTTCCAGCATGCTAACAGCACAATGATCTGAGGTTGTGGGTGTTACCCTAAGTAACGCAATTCACTCTTCTTGCCAGAGACATGAAAGCGGATATATGGAGAATAAAGGATAAAAGAAATGCATGAAACTATAGCAATACTTATATTGACCTCCCTCCGTGGTTGGGACCATTGACTATGGTTCTGAAACCGCCCTATATGCCTGCACAAAAAATGAAAAAATATAAATTGGGGAAAACCAGATTGTGTGAAGCATTACGAATTACATATGATATAGGAATGTTTCTTCTGAATATCCCAAGAGTTGAACCAAATTGGAAGTCAAAATGTAGTTCTCCCTTGTATAAAATAATTTTGAAGATAACTAGAGTTATATTTTTAGCCCTATATAAAGGATGTGTAGGACTAAAAATTTAAAGTTCTACGCTACTAGCAAGGCATAAAAGTTACTCGCCATTGCAAACCTATAGGGTCTGTGACACTCACCAAGGGTGATTTTCTACTCGCCCAGGCTGAATTTTCAGACTGTGGGCTAAAGGAATCAAAGTGCATTTCTGAGGCAAAAATATGGTTCTTAGTTGAGCTCATTTGCATACGAGTATCCAGAATCCCTTGCAGTAGTGAGAGCACTGTTAAAGTGAGATTTCTGTGGGAAAGGCTAGTCTTATGGTTTGCCTGGTGTGTGTATTTGTGTTTAACATTGCACTAACTAATTCTAGATAGATAGATAGATAGATAGATAGATAGATAGAGAGAGAGAGAGAGAGAGAGAGAGAGAGAGAGAGATACACACACACATTTCCAGCTTCATGAGATTTGAGTGAATTCACTCAACAACTGATGAGAAATTGGCATCTTCGAGCGCTGTGATTAGAGAAAAGGAAGCTTTCAAAAAGAGCTTTATTTAGAATGTACAATAAGATGTATGAAGGCTTTTACATTCTCTATTCCACTAATGTTGTACTCTTGCACACCAGTTATATGGTTGGTTTCTGGATGCTTTATCCACTATGTGCTGAAGCGGTAACGTTTACCTGCCAAGCTTTAGGTAAGAATTCTGCCTCATCCATTCCCAAGTCATCACTCGCAAATGATGAATAATAGAAGACTTAAGTCTACTGTACTCTATAAACATAATGTAAGGCTATTACTATTGTAAGTAATGGTTTATGGGGACATACAGGCATTTGGATATGCTTGTTGAGCTGAAGAATCAAGTGAATAGCTGCTTGTCCATCAGTGTCCTCCACTTCAGTTACCAGTATGTACAAAGCAATGGTTAGGCCAAAGGTAATCAAAAGAGAACAAAGGCAGCATCCACTGCCTTAACCAGTTCTGTTGTAAAGAAAAGTATGGCTATACAAACTGCTATTCACATTTTTAAATTAAGGTGAACAAAGGTTGTTTTTAAAAAAGAAAGAAAGCTGTATGTATATATCCATCCACATATACATATATATATATATATATATATATATATACATATACACACACATATACAAATAAAACATCAACAGACAAACCGCACCTAAAATAATTTAAACCTTTAAGTGGAATATCATGTAAGGAGTATATATGTACAAAAGGTCCTTTGGTCATGTAGTATCAAATATCAAGATCTATTTCGAACTAAACAAAAATGAAATAGAATATTAAAATCAAACTAAATAGGCTATAAGGCTACGCTTTACGCGTTTCACCATGTGGTTTCATCAGACGTGTGGCCACTAATATTCTAGTTCACGTATTCCCAAACTGTGGGTCGTGACTCACAGGTGGGTCACCGGCTGATTTCTGATGGGTCGCATTGACCCATGCCGGCAGACAGTCAGGCTCTCGAGGGCCTGACACCAAGACGGTAACGCTCTGAGACTACATGTGTCAGAGCTCGTGAGACTATGTCTGCATGGTCTGCCCGCGACGGCGGAGAAGCTGCAGACAGGACTGCAAGAGCCACCGGACCACCAGGGGGGAAGGAAGGAGAAGAGACCACTGGATCACCAGGGACTGCAGAAAAAAGGTATTTGAATGACTTTCACAATCACCTTCCCCCCACACTGTCACCTTCACCTTACCCTACCCCACTAGGGTCACCCTTACTCCCCCAAACAGGGTCACCCTTACCCCACCTCGACACTGTCACCCTCACCCCCCCAAACAGGGAAACTCTCCCCCCCTACACCCCACACTGTCTCCCTCTCCCCTCCCCTCCACGCCACCCTGTCTCCCTCTCCCCTCCACGCCACCCTGTCTCCCTCTCCCCTCCACCCTCCACTGTCACTCTTGCCTCCTCCCTCCACTGTCACCCTCTCTTCCCCCCCCCACACTGTCACCCTCACCTACTCTGTGTGTGTCTGTTTTTGTGTTTCTGTGTACATGAGTGTCTCTGTATCTGTGTCAGTTTGTGTAACGTGTCATTGTGTGTGTCTGCATGTGTACTGCTTTGTCATTCTGGGTATTTGTGCATTTGTGTATTTGCATGTGTGTGTGTCACTGTATGAGTATGTGTCTCAGTGTGTGTGGAAGTGTATACACTACACACAAATGCATACCTGCATTCAAACATGTACATTCACACACATACTCCATGCTTACATTCAAACACACATTGTATATATTTTTAAATACACAATATACACACACTGCATCCTTCATTCAAACACCAATACTACACATTAAAGCACACCTGTATTTAAAATACATCACTACATACAAATACCCTTGCATTCAGACGCAAGCATTACACACAAGTAAACCACTACATTCCAATGTCAACAGTACATACAAATACACCCATGCATCAACACATATTTCATACAAAGACATGCTTACATTCAAATGCTCAAACACTGCTCACAAGTACAACCCTACAATGGTGGGCAAATGGTAGATCTTTCAGCTGGCATAGCATTGTTGGAGTTCTCCGACAGATGGGGATCTACCACGGTGATACTCAAACGTGAGATGTCTGGATGAAAGAGAGGGATTCTGATTCTGCCTGAGTCTGTGGGTAACTAGTTGTATGCCTCTAAAAAAGATTGCCATGACATGCCAAGTTTCTGCCACTAAAACTGCCATGATATACCAAAATTAAGCCTCTAAAACTGCCAAATCACAGAATTATGCCTCTAAAACTGCCATGATATACCAAATGATGCCTCTAAATCTGCCATGATATGCCAGGTTTATGCACCTAAAACGGATTGCAATGTGTCAAGTTTATGCATCTCAAGCTGAATGCCATGGTGTGCCAATTGTATGCCTCTAAAACGGATTGCCATGACGTGCCTAGTTTATGCTTCTAAACCTGATTGCCATGGTGTGCCAACTGTATGCATCTAAAAGTGATTGTCATGGTGTACCAATTTTATGCATCTAAAGAGGATTGTCCTGGTGTACCAATTGTATGCATCTAAAGCTGATTGCCATGATGTGCCAATTGTATGCATCTAAAGCGGATTGTCATGATGTGCCAATTCTATGCATCTAAAACTGATTGCCATGATGTGGCAAGTTTATGCTTCTAAAGCTGATTTCAATGATATGCCATTTCCATGCATCAAAAACTGATTGCCATGGTGTACCTAGTTTATGCCTCTAAAGCGGATTGTCATGGTGTGCCAACTGAATGCTTGTAAAGCTGATTTCTATGGTGTGCCAATTGTATACTCCTAAAGCGGATTTCCATTATGTGCCAATTGTATGCCTCTAAAGCCGCCATATGCCAATTTTATGCATCTAAAGCCGATTGTCATGATGTGGCAATTTTATGCATCTAAAAAGGATTGCCATGGTGTGCCAATGTTATGCCTCTAAAGCGGATTGTCATGCTGTGCCAATTGTATGCTTTTAAAGATGAATTCCATGTTGTGCCAATTGTATGCCTCTATAACTGATTGCCATGATGTGCTAATTTTCTGCCTTTAACCCCTTAAGGACCAAACTTCTGGAATAAAAAGGAATCATGGCATGTCACTTTTCCTTAAGGGGTTAAAGCTGTCATGATGTGCCAAGTTTATTCATTTTTAAAATATGCATTAAAAGTGTTTTCAAAAAGTGGGTCTCGGCCCATAAAAGTGTGGGAAGCCCTGTTCTAGTGCTTTTTTGTTTTGTTTGTTTACAGTTTTGGAATAAAGCTCAGCCTTTTAAATGTAATTTATTTTTGAATTTATTTAGAATTTACTTTATATCCTTTGGCTTCATGGTTCCTTCAAATTTCTGGTTCCATATATCCCAGGTGGGAATTGTACCATCAACGCTCTACAATACCAGAGCATGTTCATACTCTGTTCCAGGTGAGTAGATTATCTACCTTTATTTTATATTCTACTATACATACTAGACCATTGGGTATTTCCATTCTTGTATTCACATATTGCACTTTTTGGACAAGTTCCATCACCACTGCCGAATATATCTCCCAAGACCGGAATTATACCGTCAACGCTAAATACATAAGAGCTCTTAGAAGCTCTAAAACGTGTAAGTGTGTGTGCCTTTGTTGCAAGGTGTTATTTTATCTTTTTTTAAAAACGCATTGCACCATCGTTTTGTTTGTTTCTCTCTTCCTTCGAGTTATTTGATACTACATGACCAAAAGACCTTTACAAAAAATGCATGTATAGTGTATATATATATATATATATATATATATATATATATATATATTTATTTATTTATTCCTTTTCTTTTTTTTTTTTTCCTTCAGCTATTAAAGGGACGCTATAGTCACCCAGGTCAGTTCATCTCAATGAAGTGGTCTGGATGCCAGGTCCCCCAGGTTTTAATCCTTCAGATGTAAACATAGCTGTTTCAGAGAAACTGCTATGTTTACATCCCAGGGTTAATCCAACCTCTAGTGGCTGTCTTCCTGACAGCTGCTAGAGGCGCTTCTGCGACGCTGGATGTGAAAATCGCATCCAGCGTGCAGAACGTCCATATTAAAGCATTAAGAAATGCTTTCCTATGGACTGTTTGAATGCGTGCGCAGCTCTTGCCACGCATGCGCATTCTGCTCTACTCGGGAGCTGACGTCGGCAGGGGAGGAGGGGTCACCAGTGCCGAGGGAGCACAGCGCTGGCTTAAGGTAAGTAACTGAAGGGGCTTTAACCCCTTCAGCACAAAGGGAGGGGGGTCCTAAGGGTTTTCCTGACCCTATAGTTTGGATTTAAATAAAAATAAAAGTAAAATAAAAATAAAAACTAAATAAATCATTCTGGACAAAATGTTTAAAGAAACTAGAAGTCTGCATTGTCTCTTCACTACAATAAGTAAAAAAAAATTTCTTCACATACCTTCTATTTCAAATTGTATCACGGCAAACAACGGACATGCACTGACATACACACTTACCACTGTAATTTACTGAAATTAAACTAGAAAGTGTTTGTTTTGGTTTTTGTTTTTTTGCTCGTTTGTTTTTTGCAAAAAGTGTTTTTTTGCACTAGCCCAGTATTTATTCTAGTGTTAATAATTTTTTTTTTTTTTTTTTTAAATCAGCAATGGTAGAGGGACTATAAAATAGTATATCTGGAAAAGTATCGAAATAAATTCTACACTTATCTTCCCCTGGCATCAAATAGTACAGACTAGAATTCCTTCCCTAATAAATATTTTATGCCAGTCACCTCCTCAGAAGGATACAATCCTACCAATCAATATTTTTGTCTGGCCCTCAAGGAAACAAATTCCATAATAATTTCTTAAAGAAATTATTCAGGATTGTGTAATTAGAGGCAACGGGGATACAGAGGTTAAATTAATCAAAGGAATACAGTATGTTCTTGTCAGTTTATTTACATAAGTAATTAATTGGTAAATCAATGTGGTTAATGGGCATGCTTTTAAAATAAGCTTCTACTATGTACTTTGTATGCATTATAATATTTTGCATATCATTGACATAATATTTGTGCAAGTGTGTGTAAATTAAAAATCCTGATTTTATTATATTATATAGTAATGCTTTTCAATATATTGATAAATAGAGTTAACATATCCACCATGTTTTTAGGGACACATCACATACATATTGATGGGCTGCACATGAAAATGGTTTCCCTGGGCACGCGGCCATAGGTCACCGGAGGGAGGGAGGGTGCGCTCCGCCGGCGCATCCATAAGGCGGCACAAGTGGCCGCCTTAGGGTGCACCGGCCCGGCGGGCGCAAAGCCGGAGTGACCAGCAGGAGGTGAGCGCATAGAGCACAGCGCTCCCTCCTGCCAGGCGCTCTGTGTAGCGTGGCCGAGCGCACCGCGGTACAGGAACTTATGTTTCCTGTACCCGGGCGACCGGAAATGAAGTGCTCACAGAGCGAGCACTTCCTGTCCGCCGGGTACAGGAAACATAAGTTCCTGTACCGCGGTGCGCTCGGCCACGCTACAAGGTAGGGAGCTCAAGGAGGGAGGAGGGGGGACCTGAGTGGGAGAGAGATGGGGGGGAACTGAGGGAGAGCTTGGGGGATGGGGGGAACTGAGGGAGAGCCAAGGGGGACTGGGGGAACTGAGGAGAGCCATGGGGGAAACTGAGGGAGAGCCATGGGAACCGAGGGAGAGCCATGGGGGAACTGAGGAGAGCTATGGGAGGGGGGAACCGAGGGAGAGCCATGGGGACCTGAGTAGGAGAAAGATGGGGAACTGAGGGAGAGCCATGGGGGACTGAGCGGGAGAGAGATGGGGAAACTGAAGGAGAGAGACACGGGAAACTGAGGGAGAGAGATGGGGGGCTAAACTGAGTGGGAGAGAGATGGGGCTAAACTGAGTGGGAGAGAGATGGAGCTAAAACTGAGGGGAGAGAGATGGGGGGAAAACTGAGTGGGAGAGAGATGGGGGGGCTAAACTGAGTGGGAGAGAGATGGGGGGCTAAACTGAGTGGGAGGAAACTGAGGGAGAGATATGGGGGGGAACTGAGTGGGAGAGAGATGGGAGGAGAAACTGAGTGGGAGAGATGGGACGGAAACTGAGGGAGAGATGGGGGGGAACTGAGGGAGGTATAGGGGGAGAAAACTGAGTGTGGGACGGGGGGTGAGGGGGGACGACATACACACAGCACCCCTGCCCTACACATATCACCCCACACAAAGACACCCACACATCACCCTACCCACACATCACATCACCCCACCCACACACACACACACACAAACACATACAATGTACCCCTCAATGCAGTGTGTGTACACTCGGCAGTCTGTCTGTGTGTGTACACTCGGCAGTCTGTCTGTGTGTGTGTACACTCGGCAGTCTGTCTGTGTGTGTGTACACTCGGCAGTCTGTCTGTGTGTGTGTACACTCGGCAGTCTGTCTGTGTGTGTGTACACTCGGCAGTCTGTCTGTGTGTGTACACTCGGCAGTCTGTCTGTGTGTGTACACTCGGCAGTCTGTCTGTGTGTGTACACTCGGCAGTCTGTCTGTGTGTGTACTCGGCAGTCTGTCTGTGTGTGTACTCGGCAGTCTGTGTGTGTGTGTGCGCGTGTGTGTATTTAGCAGTCTGTGTACTCAGCAGTCTGTGTGTGTATTCAGCAGTCTGCTAAGTACACAGACAGACTGCTTAGTACACAGACAGACTGCTTAGTACACAGACAGACTGCTTAGTACACAGACAGACAGACTGCTAAATACACAGACAGAGATGTTAATTAGTTCGGCAACTGTATGAGTTGTTTTTTCGAAACGTAAACCTCAGTATTCAGGTTTAAATGCCGTTTTGGCACTTTGAGGGGGAAAAAATTGGCATGTATTACGGTTTGGGCACTCGGGCTCAAAAAGGTTCGCCATCACTGCCCTATAGTATGTATAATTCAGAAGAAGGTAAAGAATAAGTAATTAATCAGGCACACTGCAGAAACCAGTGTTCAGACTAAACTGTGGGATATATCAAGAGGACTCTAAGCACACTAACCAGTTCAGCAGGATAAAGTAATTATGGTTCCTGGAGTGTCCCTTTAGAACCAGAGCTCACTTAAGACTGAAACCCTGCCATTTTAAGAACCAGATCTAACTCTGAAGGAGACAGAATTCCAGAATGAGGTGGATGATTTCTTTTTGTTACAGATTTTATCTTCCCAGAACAAACATTAAAGGACCACTATAGGCACCCAGACCACTTCAGCTCAATGAAGTCGTCTGGGTGCCAAGTCCATCTAGGGTTAACCCTGCCAGCTGTAAACATAGTTTCAGAGAGAAGCTGTAAAACATTTATTGCTAATGAATGTAGATGGCTTAGGACACACAGAACGTACCCAGTAACAGTAATGTTTATTAGAGGTGTTATCTACAACTCACTTTAGGCAGTCTGACAGTGCAACAATGCGTTGACAGTCAGATGCCAGTCTGCAGTTTGTTTAAATTGTATTTAAGGGCAATGGTTGATTGAGAATATGGAGGGGCAGAATGAGGAGAGATGGGACCTGGAAGCAAAAAAAGACTGGTAGCTGTAATAAGGTGGGCAGAATCTTGTTGC